CTGTAAAGACAAGAATATCAGATTGAAACGTGAGAAAATTGAGTTACGAAAAACAGAGCTGGTGTTCCACGGACATGTTTTGAGCGCAGAAGGTCTAAAGCCAGATCCGGAGAAAGTTAGAGCCATAAAAGAGATGCCACCTCCGACAGATGTTAAAGCCGTGAGCAGACTAAACGGGATGGTGAATTACCTCAGCCGCTTCCTTCCACGACTAGCCGAAGTAATGGTTCCTATCCGAAAACTTACACATAAGGGCGAGAGCTGGCAGTGGAACACAGAACAGGAGGAGGCTTTCCAGAACATCAAACAACTGATCGCGTGCGCCCCTGTCCTAGCGTATTACGATCCGTCACTTCCCCTTGAGATCCAGTGTGACAGCAGCCAATTCGGTATCGGTGCCGTGCTAATGCAGAACGGGAAGCCCATCGATTTTCGCAGTCGGACACTAACGGAATCCGAGCGCCGTTATGCACAGATTGAAAAGGAGATGCTAGCATTGGTTTATGCCGTAGAGCGTTTCAACGATTACACTTTTGGTCGCCGGACCACTGTATTTACCGATCACAAGCCTCTGGTATCAATAGCCAATAAACCACTGCACGTCGTCCCACGCCGCTTACAACGAATGCTCATTCGGCTCCAGAAGTACGACCTAGACATCGTCTACCAACCGGGGTCGAGGATGTACATTGCAGACACACTGTCTAGGGCATATCTTTCCGATGTGACCGCAACGCAAGAAGACCAAGACATTGTCCATGTCACTCAGCTATTGGCCGTCACAGAGGAGCGTTTCCAGCAACTACTACGCCACACGGAAGCAGACGAGCTGTGTAATCGGCTCAAGGAAACGATACTGAAAGGGTGGCCCGATAGTAAAAACAAGCTGCCAAAGGAGTTGACTCCCTTCTTTAACTTTCGGGATGAACTTGTCACACAGGATGGGCTAATCTTCAAAGGCAACCGTATACTCGTTCCAAAGGCAATGCAACGACCCATGCTGGAGCTGATACACGGAAGTCATTCAGGAGTCAATGCTTGCGTGGCGAGAGCTCGAGAGCTAATGTTTTGGCCTGGAATGACTAGTCAGATACGGGATCATGTTTCAAACTGCTTAGCCTGTCGAGCACATGATGTCCGCCAGCCGAAGGAGCCTATGATGCTTCGTGAGGTCCCGGAAAGGCCGTGGCAGAAAGTCGCCCTAGACATCTTTGCACATGACGGAAAGAATTACCTGATCGCTGTCGATTACTTTAGCGACTATTTCGAGATTGATGCTCTCACGTCTACTAGCACACAGGCCGTGATAAACAAGCTACGATCGCAGTTTGCGCGACATGGGATACCGGAAGAGGTAGTGTCCGACAATGGCCCCCAATTCAACAGCGCCGAATTTCGGAGTTTCAGCGAAAAGTGGGATTTCCTTCATCGTTTAACCAGCCCTTACCACAGTCAGTCAAATGGAAAAGCTGAGTCAGCCGTGAAGGAAGCAAAGAAGTTACTCACCAAAGCCAAGGAGACCAAAGAAGATCCTTACATCATGTTGTTAGAACGAAGGAACATGCCATCTGCCGAAATTGGATGCAGTCCAGCGCAACGTCTGTTTGGCCGTAGGACAAGAACCCTGTTGCCGATCGCCAATACTCTGCTGCAGCCTGAAATACCATCGCAGAGCTTGATGTATGAGCGCTTGCGTGAGCGCATGCTTCGACAAAAGAAATATTACGATCGCGGAACGAAGCAGCTTCCACGCCTGTTGCCCGGAGACGAGGTCTGGGTCGCGCCGACACCGGGAGCTAACGGGTCTTGGAGGAGAGGGCGAGTAGAAGGTCTCAAAGGCGAACGAAGCTACGACGTAAGAGTTGGGGATAGTCTATTTCGACGCAACCGGGTGCAGTTAAGGAGACAACGTGGTGAACAAGCACGGCATCGTGCGAAGCAGCCAACGCAGCCGGACATTTCGGTGGATACGGCAGCACACGACCACAAGACTACACGCAGTGGAAGGCGATACAGCGCTTACGTAATCGGACTACAAAAAAAACGAAAAAAGGAAGGATGTGATGGTAGCTTACGTGCCAAACCGCCAGCCAACAGCGCGAACTGGTTTCCACCAATCGGCAACACAATCGGAGATCGCAATCAGTTCGCGGCACCGCCAACCAGTGGCGCACACAAGCTACCGATCGGACGAACAGACCAACGGCTCGGCAAAGCGTCTGGCAAACAAGCGTGGTCCGAATATCCAATCAAAACCCGAGACGGCTCGCAAACGAGTAAGCGACGTTAAGGGGATCGAGGAATTGCATCAGACGCCTGACCAATCAGCGTCACGTCAATCCGGTACGCGAACGACCGTCCATTGGCCAGAAAGAGCAGGCACTGAACCGAAACCCATCGGCCGATTGGTTTTTGATCGTCAAGACACAGCATGGGGAACCAATTGTAGCAAATGCCATGGACGAATTACGACCGAACGATGGGAGGCGAAACGCCCAGGATCAAAGGACACTGGCCAATGGAGACAAATGCATGAAAGTGTAGTAGCCGAATAGAAACGGGCGCAGAAAATGGTCATATCTGATATAAAAAGAAAGCAATTCTCGCCAATAAAGATTTTCGTGTCGCCGCCACCTGTTGTTCTTTCTGCCGGAGGGCCGCACGTTTTACAGTTAGTGGATGTGCTATTCATTGACTTTACCAAAGCGTTTGATTCTGTCCCGCATACTGGTCTTTCCCTTAAGCTCCGTTCCTATGGAGTTTCCAGGCACGCGCTTCTATGGCTATCCGCATTTCTTGAAAGGCGAGAGATGTGTGTTCGAGCGGGCTCCAGTCTTTCTTTCCGACAGGTAGTTCTGAGCCCTGTCCAGCAGGGATCAATTCTTGGTCTACTGCTATTTGTTATGTACGTAAGTGAAATGTCAAGTGCCGGGGCTGCCTACCCTCATGTTCGCCGACGACTTGTAGTTTCGGTGCACGGTGAGCGACCCCGATGGCTTCCAAGTTCTGCAACAGGCTCTTGACCGACTCCTTGATTGCTCCGTTCTGTGGCAGATGTCAATAAACTACAGCAAGTGTTCAGTTTTGCGCATAAGATCAAGTGGCCCGACAACGCACTACATGCTTGGCGATAATGAAATCCCTCACATATCCCAAAAAATTGACTTAGGGATCACTTTGTCTAAGGACTTTAAATCCAGCGAGAACTGGTAGAAAGCGCCTTGCAGTGGTTTTCGAACCTTTTGAATGATCCGTAGATCATTTGGGATTTTAACGGGAGAAATGTTTGTTATGTTGTTGACGGCCTTTGTTAGACGGCACCTGGAGTATTGAGTCCAGGCTTGTCCTCCTTGCTTTACTCGTGAGAGGATGGCGGTAGATCGGTTCTTGAGAATCGGAAACCAAACGATCCACGGGTTGCTCAAGTTAAGGATGTTTTCATTACATTATCATCGTCTTCGTGGCGACTTTATTCGCACTTATCATATATTGACAGGGCGGATAGGTCCAGATTTTTCTCGGCTTTTTCATCCAACAGTTACCAACTCTCCGCGGGCATCCGATGAAATTGCACTCAGACCTGATCGCGTTCGGGCTGACACTCGTTTGTCACGCCGTGAGATTCTTGGAACGCGCTACCTGAGGACGTAGTCTTGTCATCCACGATGACAGTTTAAATGTCGCCTCGACGCTCTTAACTTGCAGCTCCGAACCTTCCCCCTCTCCTCTTAATTTAGTTGCTGTTTGCTCTCCAGCTATATTCCTTGTTATCCACTTACTAACCTCCTCTTCAGTGTCTTCTTTCGTACCCTTCCGCTTTATAGCTAGTCAACAAGCTTCTTCTTCATCTTTCATTTCACGCGGCCGGCGCAGCGGGGACTGCTGGCGCAAGACACGGGGGTTTTGATTGGTTGAGCATGATTTGATAGGTACGTGCTGATTTGGCTCCCACAACTGGCCGATCTTATTACCGCATTCCAATGTGGATTAACGACGCATAAAGGATGGAACGACCAAGGGAATTTCCTTTTGTTCCTGTCCAGTTTGAATTTGATCTCACGTCCGACTTCTAAACGAGAGGGCGGATCCAAAGGGACAGCCCAGGTAGGAGGGTTGGCAGTGGCCGTCGAGAAACCTGACAATTCCGACCGATTAAATTGTCTTACAAAATGTTCAGACCAACGCTCCAAGCGTTCTGACAAGTTGTGGATAGGCTGTCCACTCTCGTCACGTATAGTTTCACTGACACCAGGTCTCCTGCTACCCGTTTCCCGTATCAGACGGAATAACTTACGATGGTTACCAAGGGCAGCGGCTAATTCCAGATCTGATGCACGATGAGACCACTAAGATTAGCCGTCTCTCCAGGCTAGCACGGAGTTTTGCCCGGAGATTTCTGCGTGTCTCACTGTGTTCGCTTCCAGCCAGAATGTGCCGGCAAACATTGAGAAGTTCCAGAGACTGCGAAGAGACCCGACGTCGATGTTAGCTGTTAGACTTACTACATGAGGATGTAGTTGCTGTTAGTAAGGTCTAGTGAACATGAGACCAGTGAGCTTCAACTGTATCCGGTGAGCGTTTACTCAACTCGCATGTCAACGTAGTTTGACGGGCATTCAGAACAGTTGGCTTCGTCATTTGGCTGGTGTCAATGCGCTCACAACGTCGTCGTGGGCGTCCGCCAAAACGCATCCGCAGGTCAGCATATACAGGTGCCCACGCACTTCAGACGGACCTCGACCGTCTACATCAGTGGTCCATAGAAAACAACCTTCCATTTAACGCTTCGAAATGTCGCGTCCTTTCTACCCGCCCTTCCGCTTTTTCTCCTATATATTACCTGGGAGCGTCTATCCTCCAGATCTCTTCAGCCGAAAGACTTGGGTATCATTACCCAGACGAGTCTTTCCGTATCCGCTTCCTGCCGGAAATCAGCAGCTGCTGCTAACCGCATGGTGGGATTGCAGAAACGAGCCTCCGGTCAAATTGACCCCAGCAATTTCCGCCTCCTCCTCAACGCTTTCCTTCGACCCCACTTGGAGTTCGCTATTCAGGCTTGGAGCCCTTGGTTGTTGAAGGACCAACGCATATTCGAAGCCCCACAACGTCGAGCAACCAAACTGGTCAGAGGTCTCAAGCACCTAGATTATCCACAACGACTTCAGTGCCTGGGCCTCTACTCGCTTAAGTACCGACGTCTACGGGGCGACCTGATCCTTGTATTCATGATCTTATCCAACCCTGGACATCCCTGTCGCCACCTACTCACACTGCACCAATCGGGCTCCCACCTACGTGAGGCTCACACATCAGCACAGTCGGCTGAACTGCAGACGACACTACTTCGCTTTGCGAATCTGCCGACCGTGGAATGCTCTGCCTGCCGATTTAGTCTTGGCACCCACTGCGGCGGACTTTAAGACCCGCTTGGACTGTCATCTGGCAGAGTTACACCGCGATATTCCCTAATATAACTACCTTCTACTGGATGGAATTTCTTTCTTTTTTCTTCTACCTACTTCCTTTCCAAAGCCGTTTCGGAGGGCGTGGTGGGATGTCACGCTTTGAGCCGGCGTGCATTCTGTTTAAATGCCGCATAAGCCCGATGAAGATACGGCTAACGCGGGATTCCAACCCGCTGTAAGGTTGCTTACCTTTCATCAGACCCGACCCGAACTCTTTTTACCCTATGGATCATGTAAAGCTCGAGCTTTTATTCCCATTAAATACAATGTCCAATGGTCAGTGCTTACACATGTGCTCCAAATCGAGCGACAGTTTTGGACGCAGCCTCTCCATCGGCAACTGATCGCAATGTGATCAATTGGCGTCCATAGCTGGTGGGCGCCAAATCACCCTCCGACGGGTGCTGTGTCGGAAAATAAGTGCTCGCAAGAAATAAGCAAGCATCTTCACACAAATGAAGTAACCGCACACCGCTATCATTACCGGAGCCTACACCGTGTTGGCCGCCCAAATGCAGTACATCAGTGGATTTTTTACCAACTTGAGCGTTCAGATCCCAACCAGCAATACAGTGTCCGTGTCTCTTCCGGGGCGAAGGAGCTCGTTCAGTTGGCGATAGAAGTCGTCTTTTACCGAACCATCGCTACAGTTTGTGGGCGCGTAGGCAGCGATGATGAATAGACACCTATTAGTCTCGCGCGACTTCGAAGCTTTGAACGAGCCAGCCAATCGGACCGCACACATCCGGATACTGATTGGGATCTAATCAACCAGAGCAGGCTCCGCCCGGAGAATCAAGGCAATACCAACACCGCTTTGGCCAGTGCTCGAAGCTGCATCGTCACCGGATAAGCGCAACGAGAAAGTGCTGCTGATGTCACCTGAAGGGGATCGCAAAGTGAGCACAGATCTCCAGTCTTGTAGACAGGCTCCCGATAAGCAGCAAATATCGATCGAATGTCTCTAACGTTCGGGCAAGTGCTGCTTGTTGACTGAGCTATAGCAATGTGCGTACATTGAGGCATGAAAATCTGAAGGAGGATCTAAGGGTTCAAATGGAAGCCGATGAACTAGACTTGCCCGCCTGCTTGGATATGGGCTTGTCGACATGGCAGGAATGACGCTCCGCGTCCGAACGTGAGTTGAAACTAGAAGGTAAACGCCTATCAAAGCAAGGTGGAGAAGCGCCAAGAATTGGGGGATTGAAAACAGGGGGTAAAAGTGAAGCTAGAACGCGACGATAGGGATGAAAAAGTGCAAGAGGGGGAATAAGATGGGAAGACTTAAGCAGTAGCATCCAAACCCCTATCCACCCTGCTTGATGCAGCAGTTAAGGCACCGTTGATTACCCACCGCGGTGGTCAGAGCATCAGGAAACTGCTTGAGGGAAGATTCATAGTATTGCGTGGGTAGGATACGGTCAGGTTGCCCAGGCCTAGACAGGAGAAAGAGTAGGGTTTTCAACCCAAGCCTTTGGTTCAAAAACTGCAAGGCAGTGAGTTTGGCAATGGTCTACAAGGAGTCTGTTTTAAGGAATAAGGAGCCACCTTCATTCCAACCCCCCTGAAGGACCAGGAGGATGAGTTTGTCTAGCCGTTAACCATTGACCAATCTCGTATGAGTGGCCCTGAAGTTGCAACAAAATACCTCCCAGCATAGCTGAATGGATTTCTGAGGCATGGTACGGCCCAGCCTCATTGCGATGGACTGCCGACCACAGCGACTGGACATAGAAAAGGTCCAGGTTCCGAAGTTAAACAGTGACTAAAAATCATCGCAAATAAAAACATGGTTGCTTTCACGGAGGTGCAGTGGGAGCGAAACGATAAGAGAAACACATTAATAAGTAATAATGTGTCAGCTGCACGCCGTAACGGCGCTTCGCTGCCGCGCGACCACCACAAATCGCGCGCGGGCTGAGTATACCTTGAGGACGCTGACTCCTATGCAGATTCGGACCGGTGACTGCAAGCAAGGCGTGCAGACCACTCGGCCACCGGCTGTTCGAAACGATACCCATATGGTTTCATCTAGACAAACGACTATCCCATAAACACCGAGTCTATACCAAGGATGAAGGCACGGATGGCATTGACAAATAGGAAAAAAACATTTGAGATCACAGCCGTATTACTCAAAAGCTCATAGTAGAAACGCACAAATCAACCGAAGTCAGGGTAACACTGTCAAAACAAGAGGCGCAAGGACGGCAAAATGCATACAAAATTACAGAGCGTAGATAGGTTGGGATAACTATGGAACCCAGGATAGGACAGAACTGCTACTGTCCCTAACTGAAATAACCGGCTAAAGATATCTGACCACAATTTGGCGAGACTACGGTAATGATATACTAAAAAGATCATTTCCACGGAGACTCGTCTCTTTATTGTACACCTTTACCTGAGGACCAGTGTATTTGCAGTAACTTTAGGGTACCAAAAGTTTCCGGGTATACCTCAATGGTCTGGATGTGGGAAAACCGCTGCATCAAATTGTGGTCCAGTACCGTTGCAGTGTCATCACATAAACAGTGAGCATGAAAAATTCTTTCATGACTATCGTTAGCTTCAGGCTTGTGGGACTATTTCAGTGTCAGTTGACAGGGCCGCGCTAATCATGTAACCGTGAGATGTAAAAAAGTTTAATAAAAATTGCACGTCTGGTAACAATCCTATCCGTACAGACGGACGGCCAGCCGTCCCATTTGAACATTTTTGGTCTCTAACAGGTAACTAAATGACAATAAATGGTGAAAATTATCCATATTTGTTGTTAACTACTATCATGCACCGGCAGCAGTTTTGATTGACTGCTAAAATGCCGAACCTACTGCGACGGTAACAAGCTCCAAAGGCATGACGTCGCCAGTTCCGTCAAGCATGCACTGAAACGGAATCAACGGAGTTGACAAGGGTCCCCCCCTCCCGCTCTTTACACACCAGTGAACGAACGAACGAACCAAATCAATACCGCATAGCTTCGATAGCACTGGGTACGGAGTAGGTCGCGTAATTGCACAGCCAATTGCCGACATACTCCAGCTTTCTGTTCTTGAGTTGTACAACATGCCTCTTTGTGAGGGGAGAATACCACAGGATTGGAAGGAAGCATAAGGGTGGTACTAAATCTCACAATAACTACCATCCTGTTCGTCTGACTAGCGTTCTTCACAAGTGTCTAGTGAAGATGATTAGGAATCGAATCTGTGAACACCTTGCTGTTACTAACTTGATCGGAACAGAACAGCATGGCTTCGTCAATAAAAATCATAACTTACCAATCTGGTGTGCTTCCTTGATGAAATAAACCGATGTCTTGATGATGGCATACCAGTAGGTGCGTTACCTTGACTTCAGTAAAAGTTTTGGTTCGGTGAATCATCCTTTTTTGTTAGAAAAAATGACCTGGTTTGGAACCCCTCCTCAACTGCTTTCTTTGCTGAATGCATTCCTCTTTGGTAGGAAATTCCGTGTCAGGGTTGGTGACGTTATTTTGACGGCCGGCACTGCTCAGTGGAGTTCGCCAGTGATCAGTACTAGGTCCGTTGCTATTTCTCATGTTTATAAATGACTTGGTCCCTCTACTTGAAGACCCCTCCTATATGTTTCCTAATGACTTGAAGCTTGCAAACAGGGAAGACAGTGCTTGGTTTTCTAAAGATTTTGCTACCGTTCTTAATTGATCACCTTTGTGGGACTTAGCACAGAACATCAGCAAATGTCAAATCTTAATCCCGCGTGATGAAGAGTTTACTGTGCACATAACTAATGGGTCCCTAACATTGCAACTTGTCACCGAGGCAGGTGATCTAATTGTCATCGTGACGAGTGACTTCAAGCCTTCGGCGTAACGCATGCATGCAGCTACTAGAGCGCGACAGAAGTTATTTCGTCTCAGGTATTTCTTCCCATGTTCAAAGTTGTGGTCAGACCACATCTGGAATACTGTGTTCAGACTTGCAGACCATACCTGCAAAAAGATACTATTTGTAATGAGGATGTGCAGACTGGCCACTCGAATGATAGGCCAGCAAGGGCTATCGTATGATCGGTTAACAAACTTGGGTGTTTTCAGTGAGAAGACACAGACTGAAGTGACTTAAAAGAGACGTTCAAAATCAAAGGTCTGTGGTCTCAGGCCCACCGATATGTTTAAATTAGCTACGTCAGAAACGTGCGGAGCCATTGCATGAAATTGAAGCAGCAGATCTAGGCTGGAGTTAAGAGTCAGCTTCTTCGCAAACCGGCTGGCACATGTTTAAAATAAATGCTGTTCTATTAACATGCGAAACGGGAGGAATTTAAATGTAGCATAGACAAACGTTGGCCGGCCCGAATATACTTAGTTCCGATGAGTGATACTGTTGTTCGCCTTGCACGCCTCTGCTTTTCCACTATAATAGAATCAAAAATATCCTATCAAGTCGCAGTGCCGGGGGCTCTTTTTCGCTTACTGGCACACGAGACGAGACTCGTTAAGCGCAAGCTTGTTACGCCCCTGGATACTGTTCTGTCCTGCTAGTTGGGAAAGGCTACAAATTGACGCTAAACCAGTGTCCCATGAGAACAGGCCATAACGAAAGCATTAAAAATAAGGTATAATGAGGAAGAAACCGTCTGACTGTAGACAGAAGAGCTTTACAGATATCACATAAAACGATGCGACTAGACGTCACGAATAAATCCAGCGATCAGAAAGCCATGCGTATATGTTGGATTATCTCGAAGACAGCTGGAAACAAATATGTTTGAATGTATAGTACTCCAACCTGAACCACACACCACAAAAACTATCAAACCCAAAATCCAAGCATTCATATTTGACTGAGATTCCTGTGATTTCTACGAAAGTAGTTTAACAATCATCATAAAACTAACCAAGGATTTCGGGACGTTTCCACGATTCCTCACGTTCCCGTGAGCCCTTTCATTCTGTACTTTCATACGCTGCGTCGCAGACATCACCACGGACAGGTCCGGGTTTCAGTCGGTAAGTAACACAAGTGAGCCGGACAGAAATTATCCGCCATTAGCCAATAAATATCATGACATTATTTTTGACATGACTGTATGCACTGGGTATTAAAAACTTTCATATCGCAGGTACTAATCTTGCGAAGCTTTGGTTAAAGTTTGACGGATTTTAAAAAATATAGGCAGTAAGTTACAATGCATATACTTGTATATTAAAGTGCAACAGCTGACACTAGTAGATTGCAGCCTATTTAGATACTAGCACTTCATTCTTTGTATTGAATTAGCAGCAGTTCTTCCCAAGAATAAGCAATGTTCTGTGGGTTTAAAACAAATTACTTTAGCGTGACCGACCGCTTCCTCGCGCACTTTGCAGACGTAATTTGATCCACATAAACCGCTAGAGGAATAAACAATCGCGACCAGCGCCAACGCAACAGATGTGGAACAACCAGTTAGTGAAATTACGAACTGGTACAAACTTCAATGCCGCTGATGTTGACAGCAATTAACTGAGCACTACACGGTAAGGCCTTTTTCTGGTGTGCTAAACTTTTGATACTCTAAGTGCATATATGGTGAAGAAATGACTTTGAATGTATACGTTTGACGAAATATGACTGTTGTCCAATCTTTCTCAAGGTAAATTACATCCAAGCGTGTGGTCTTTGGGAAAGGTCTCACATCCCGGTCAATGGCTGCCCAATGTGCACGCTGCGAGCGATGGATGCATATAGGATGATGTAACATTGGTCATGCGCTTTACCAATGTCTTGACCACAATGCCTATAAAGGCATAAGCCTTCACTGCGAACTGTGTACACCAGTGGTCAGCGAAAAACGCCTTTGACGAGCCCGCGCCCCTTTTCGTCTTTCTGAGCTAAAATCATGCGCAGAAGCTGTACTTTGCAATGTAATTTCTGCAATGGCCTGCACTTTGACCCATTTGACCTACTTGAAATATGTATCCAGGTTTGTCAACCGTATCCTATCGGAAACAAAATGGACTTGTTGAGGTGGTTACGATTGGGCAGTCGTTTAGAACAGGGGCTACGGGGCAGTCCTCCTTAATGCCTGCTTAGTTTGGGAATGTACCCCATGCGCTACTGAAGAATAAGGGTACCTGATTCTTGCTTATCGTAGTTTGATGGGTAGGATCGGCCCGGACCTGTCACGCCTATTTAGTCCCGTTAAGTCACCTTCGCCGGCACCCACTGGGACTACATACACCACGGTCTTATGGGACTAGAACGGAAACTCGTCTGGCGCGCCGAGTTATATATCGCTAGAATCCGCTTCCATGTCATGTGGTTAGGTAAAATATGGTTAAAGCTTTTGCGCGCGTTGTTTGCACTTGGGTGGCAAGACCAGACTATTAAGTTCTTTTCAGTTCTCCTTTAATGACTCAAATTTCCAGGTATTATACCTGCCTGGCTTTTTGCTCCCTTCTTGTCTTCTGTGTTTACCTTTTTCTCTTCTTACTACACTTAACCGGCCCTGCGTTGACTGCTAAGGCAGGACGCGTGAGAATTACTTGGTTGGACATAGAGTGACGTGGTCTTTGTTATAGGTCCATCTGTATTTCAAAGCCTGACAACTAGTTCAACGACTCATTGAAGAAGGAACACCCACGGTGTAACCTTATCCTTCCAGTCCAAGTTGAACTTGAACTTATTGCTCTTGCATAAACTCTGTCTAACGCTGACTATCGAACACCTGTTTCATCTGTGTACCTGCATGGGTCTGGTTACTGCACGCCCAAAAGCAAATTAGCCCCGCCTCCGCCACTAGGCTGGCAGGAAGCCCGTTACCCGTCGGGACTGGCAACCCACAGCGCAGTTGAAGACGAATCTTCTCATCTTCCTAAGAGGAAATTCTGCTAACGCAAGGTAGTTTCTGTCAAGACCAACTGGATGCAACTAACTGAAAATAAAGCCGAAGATCTTTGCGGCTGAGGGAGCACTAACGCTGCAGAAATATCCGCGATGAATGCCTGTCTTGGTAGTGCAACAGAGTTTGATCTCATCGACTGTCATCTTAATCACAGCCGCCCGCAAGTATATAAGAAACCATTTTTAAAGCCTAAGACGCAGGACGACTCTTCACGTCTCCAAAAAAGGCACGTCCTGGACAGAATGCGCAGGTTGGAAAACCTGATCATGACAATCCTGCAGCAAACAAATCTGGCTGTTTCCGAGAGGAGCAGTCCCCCTGCTTGTGAACGATGACGTCTATCGTCAAAGCTCCGAAATCAGATAAGTCAATGCCAACAGATAGAAAAGTTGCCGACTACGATACCTTAGGTCGTATGATCTCTGCTTTCCAATAATGGAGAAGCTGGGTTTAACCTCGTCTCCGTCTTTCGATTCGGTAAAAACAGGACAACACCGCTAAACATCGCTAACGCAAAATATTCCGCTAAGATGAAGTTGAACTTTGCAGCATCCTTAAGCGGACCTAACACCATAAGGAACAAAATTTCTTTGTCCTGTGAGTCTTTGTCTAGAGGGCCGCGTCAAAATGAAACTTGCCACTGCTGAACTGAAAACCCGAAGAGAGCACTGTGAAGCTCACCTGAACATCGTGGATTTTCGCGCAGTGAAGAGAACTCAGTGAGCCTGCTGAAGGTCAATCCTAGTCCTTCTCGGGTAATAAAATCATGGATAACGCCTGGACTGTTGTGTTGTCTGCTAACCTTCGGAGAATCAAAAATCGCTGGGCGAAATCCACTGTACCACGTCGGAGCTATGTCAAGAACTGCTTGTATTTACAGAAACCTGGCTATCCTCGGAGTTACTGTATGCTCTAACGGGCAGGTCGCACTGGTTCGAGAACCAGGGGCAGTGTACTACTGCAAGAGAGGTCTGAACTTGAGCGACAAACCAGTGAAAGTATTGGTGACGACGGCATGGAACTGCTTTGGGGTCGGATCCACGCTGAATGCAAACCCTTACCATCGGGATGGTGTACAAGCCCACTCGGGTACAGGCAACCGCGTTTTGGGTTCACGCAAAACCTACGTGGTGGCAGGGACGGCATAATATTGGTTGACTTCAATGCGCCTAATATTGACTAGGATGTTCACCGCTGCGGACACGCCGCAGAGTCATTTGATGCTTGTCTTTTGGTGCAGTTTTGATGCCAATGCAGCTTAGCACGTCTCCACTCCCAACGGAACACTAGCACCCGACATGCTACATTATTGTTTTGGTACTCTCACCTGAAACTTCTAACCCTCCTGGATTGGTCACTCCCCCACCTATTGATCAGCTTGATCGCAGTGGTTTTCTTTAATTGGACGGGACGATTTGTCAATCAAGGCCGAAGGGTTTCCCACCGAAACTTCAGGCACACCAATCCTACCTGCCTAAGGGAGGCGGCTAGCAGGTTGGACTGGAATATCCCACAAAATCATGACCTCGATGCTACATGGACACTTCTGAGCTACAAAATAAAACAGCTCATTAACAAGTAGTGCCAAACTCAGGAAACACAGCACCACATGAGAGCTTCTCCTTGGATTGCTCGGGAAATACAGCCTCTAACAAATCAGCGAAAGCTACTATGGAACCGTTTTAAGTCTACTAAAGTGGTCTTGAACTAATCCAACTGCTAGGCGCTTAGGAACTTATGTACGATGAAAAAGGGGAAAATTGGAATTAATAAGAACAGAGTCCGGTAGAACATTCTGTGTCCAGACCTAAAAGGTTACTCTTATATTAATAAAAGGACCAAAGTCGGCTGTCGCATAACCGCTTTGTCATCCAGTACAACAGATTCTGTTCTATGCGAAAACGGCGAGAAGGCAGACTACCGGGCTCGGAAACACTCATCCGTCTACGCTCAGCAATCTCGAGGCATCGGACCCCAACCGTTCTGAGGACATCGAATTCAACACGGAAACTGTTGCGAAAATGTTCCTCGTGATAGATCCTAACTCGTCATCTGGCCCTGACGGAATACATCCATCTTTCTCATGACATTGGCAGGTTACGTTGCCACCACTATCTATAAGATTTGCAACTCTCTCTAGAAGCTCAGCATCTGCCCTCCGACTGGAAACCGAGAATAGTGCTGCCAGTGCACAAAGGTGGAAATTCGCTTGACCTTACGAAATATCGCCCAATCCGTCTGACATGGATAAATTCCAAGGTCACGGAGGAGATTATAAACGCGCTCTACAAAAGCACTGTTCTGGTCTGGACATCACATCACAGCACGACTTTCAGAAGGGAAGCTTCTGCACTACTAACCTACTGGTGGTGAGGAAACAAGTGCTAGCTTAATAGATGCCGGCAAACACCTATTTGTCTTCTTCATTGACTTCGGCAAGACGTTTGCTAGGGTCCCACATTAGCGATTGCTGTGCTAGCCCCGGGAAATTGGTGTCAGTGGACGCTTATCCTCGTGAATCGCCTACTTCTTGGGATCAGAACCATGCAGGTAGGAGTGAATAAAACCCTTCCACAGCCAGTGCTGTTGACCAGTGGGGTCCCGTAAGGATCGGCCCTCGGACCTCAGCTTTACGAGCTGCTCATTAACGACCAAGCCGAAACCTTTCAAACCGAAAACCTGATTTATGCTGATGACCTCAAGCTTTGGTCGGAAGACTCGGACGTCAATACAGCTGGTAAACTACAGGCCATGCTGGATCTACTAACGACTGGTTCACAACGTTTGGTCTACCTAGCAACTATGCCAATTGCGGTGTCTCCTTGATGGGTGCGGCTGATTCAGTTAGCACCTACAATATTGGGGGTTCCTCCGCAAGAATACCGCCCTGGAGAAAGACCTAGGTATAATAATTACATCGATCCTAAAACCACCAGGACACACTAAGGAGAGTGGCCGCTGCTAACAGGATGTGGTGTGCCGTAAGAATATCATTCACTCAGTTGAAAAAAAGGACATTCCGGCTACCACTTACTTCTCACGGATGACCTATGCTTAGGTACGGCCGAGAGGTTGCGTTTCCGCTTTAAACGCTAGTAGGTGCCCTAATAGAAAGGGTCAAGCGAGGAGGCACAACGTTTGCCTTTGGAATTCGGGATTTCTCCGACCCTCTTTGACTCCAGGAGCTGAACCTCTTCTAAATGGACGAGTGTCGTCGCCGTAGTGACCTCACCATCAGCAGACGCATACTAAGGGGAAGCTGGATATGAACTGCGGCAGCTTTTCTCATATAACTTAGGCGGGCCCACACAAGGTCACACTTGGAACGACTTTAAACGGGGGATGCTCCGAACCCGCCATGCCATTGCCCTTTCTACTCTGTTGGTTAATGACTTGAACAGCCTCTCAGAA